CTCAAATTCGCCTACCTGTTACCCACGTAGCGCAAACTCAGTCTTCAGTTTGACTTCGTCCAACGGCGTGTATTTGTCTCACGTATGTAATGGACGAAATGAGTAGCAAATCTTTTTCGGCTTCAGACTGGATGCTGTTTACATGGGGAAGACCAATACATTTTCCCGCCCTGCAGGACAAACTTCCGCTGACGAGTTTTCTACAGACAAATCAAATGTTCCGAATTCCGGATGATGATGTCGAAGGTACCGATATGCAGCCACAGAATTATGTTCCATTCAAGGAAGGTGGGAAGTTGGAATGATCCCACTCTGACTGTCCCAGTTTCGACCTCAAAGCTTTCGAGGCGATTGTAAACAATAAAGATTGCTGAATCCTACAAAATCTTTGTTGTTCTGGTTCATCACAAATGACATGACTTCATGCAGGGAGATAACGGAATATCTTCATGCAGTCGGTTCAAATCACGTCTCAAGTTTTTTTACAGCTGCAGTTGTTGTGAAAGTGTGATATAAATAATGAAGTAATGTATTGTGTTGTAGTTTATTTTGAATATCTAAATCACAAGTGTCAAACTCAAGGCCCAGGGACCAGATCTGGCCTGCCACATCATTTTATGCGGCCCGCAAAAGCAAATTAAACATGTCAACTTCCATGATGCTTGCTCTCTACCAAAATGTAAAGTTCTCATTTGTCATAAATAAGAGATATTTTGTAAGCATTTCCTTGTAACCAAACCCCTCATTACTGTGACTTAAAAAAATACTTGAATAAACCGTTATTATTGACTTTTTAAATTTGGTTTCAGTCATGACGGCCCTCCAAGGGAAACGGTAACTAAAATGTGGCCCATGACAAAAATGAGTTTCACACCCCTGATCTAAATCAATGTTGTGCCTTGCGACTGCATGGCGACCAGTAGTCCACCTTTCACCCTAAGTCAGCTGTTATATGACTCCAGTACCCCCTGTCTCCACCCTGAACAGCAGTGGTCCCCAACCACGGGCCAGTTGAGACAAGTACATGCTATTTGCAGACCAGCAACTTTTTTTTTCTTTCTTTTTTAATTGACAGTTGTATAGCACTGATACCAACAACAAAGATAATTCTATAGTAATTAAACATTTTATTAACATACCTTTGTCATTAATTTCAAACATTTATATTCAACAATACAACAAATGTAGAATGATAAATAATAGTGAACTACTAAAAACGTAATCAATCAGGAATAATAAATAGGCCTTATAATATAAACAACAATTTTTAAGTTTTGATCCTACATATTCCGTTACCATCATTACCGTTACCATCATTGGTACTGTACTACTACTACTAAATATGCACCCTCAAAAAATTGATTGCTGCTTTCGTCTGGTGGTTGCCAGCTAATAATTAGCGATTAAACTGCTAGGGTTTACATGGCGAAGCTGTGCAAACTGCTCACATTTTCATGCGTTCCACTTGATCACTTGGGTTCTACCTGTTTTCTTAATTTTTTCTTTGTGTTCATTTGATTCCAATTCAAGCTGTTATAACGTCATTCTTCAATGTTAAAAACGGTTATAGTAACAATATAACACGTTAATTGTTAAAATAAGCGGGGGGGGGGGGCGGTCACATTTTCAGCTAGTGGTGTGCCGCGATATTTTTTCAATGAAAGAAGTGTGCCTTTGCTCAAAAAACTTTGAAAAACACTGCACTACAGCATAGGTGTCAAAGCCCAGTCCTCAAAGGCCAATGTCCTGCATGTTTTCCATCTCTCCCTGCTGCAATGCACCTGATCCAAATGATCAGCTCATAAGCAAGCTCTATAAGAGCCCGATAATGATCCCGATCATTTGAATCAGGTGTGTTGCAGCAGGGAGACATGGAAAACATGCAGGACAACGGCCCTCGAGGGCCAGGCTTTGCCACCTGTGCACTAAAGCTTCCTCCTCCACGTCACTCTGGAGAGACTGCCGAGGGAAGGACCTTTGCTTGTCACAATAGCTTCATCTTCGGAAGTCATGGCGGTCCATCAGCTGCGTGTTTAATTGTACGTTTGGTCATTTTGTTACTTTTATTTTCTGTTTACTACTTCTTATTTTATTTATTGGCGAATTCCGTTTACTTCAACTCGCAAACCAATGTTAGAAGGGAAACGTAGACTCTGATTGGCTGCATTCACGCGCATTTCCGCCACGCCCGTTGGTCAAAACAATGGTCTTCGCAGCCCTATGTATATTGGCCCTTCAACGTGTGGGGGTTGGGGGAGGCTTGACTGACGCTGCGCAAATGCCAAAAAAAGCTTTTGTCACTGCAATTTGGTACCAAATGGGTCATGGCCTGGGTCCGGTCGGCACATCGGTGTTTGGGGACCACTGCTGTACTGTACTGTTTGCCAAGAAAACAATGCAAATCTTTAGGGTTTACTCATGCACCAAATCCCATGAAACTGTCCCCTCACATTGGACCTGGGAAAATAATATTTTATTTTTTAATTGTGCGGTTTAAAAAACATGAGTAAGTTCCACCATCTAAAATATTTTACGAAAATATACCATTTGAACATTTCTGTAAGATCGCCCAAAAGCTGGAGGTATAAATGCAACAACCCAAACCTGCAAAAAGTCTACTGTCAAACCAACGTGAAAGTAGCCATGTTTAATTTCCTTTTAGATGTTGCCTCATTTTTGGCCTTTTACAGAGGGCATATTTTATCGAACTTTAAATCCCTCTATTCCCCGCAAATGACAGGGCTCAGCATCGACCTGCAGTAGGAACATAGCCTTGACAAATTTATGTATTCATTTATTTTTAAAGGTCAAGTGTGAAGTAATTTCAGAAAACCCCAAATGAAATATTTTTATGTCACAAGTAATTAAACAAAATACATGAAAGAAAGCCTGAAAACATAATTTTTATTTCATGAATTCAACAAAGTAATCGTTTTCCCAAAGTGAGTTCCTAGCGAGTGACAAGACTGGAAGTGTGACATTGCTTCAAGAACAACAATAGCAGATCTCAACATGGAAAGTGACAAATGATTACAACCATGCGTAGATTATCGTGGCCTTAATGAGATAACCATTAAAAGCAAATATCCACTTCCATTGCTATATTCCGCTTTTGCCCCTCTTCAATCCCCGACTATCTTCTCTAAATTGGATCTTCCTAGTGCTTACCATTTGGTTCTCATGAGGGAAGGGGATGAGTGAAAGACAGCCTTTAAGACACCTGGTACCAAATGGGTCATGGCCTGGGTCCGGTCGGCACATCGGTGTTTGGGGACCACTGCTGTACTGTACTGTTTGCCAAGAAAACAATGCAAATCTTTAGGGTTTACTCATGCACCAAATCCCATGAAACTGTCCCCTCACATTGGACCTGGGAAAATAATATTTTATTTTTTAATTGTGCGGTTTAAAAAACATGAGTAAGTTCCACCATCTAAAATATTTTACGAAAATATACCATTTGAACATTTCTGTAAGATCGCCCAAAAGCTGGAGGTATAAATGCAACAACCCAAACCTGCAAAAAGTCTACTGTCAAACCAACGTGAAAGTAGCCATGTTTAATTTCCTTTTAGATGTTGCCTCATTTTTGGCCTTTTACAGAGGGCATATTTTATCGAACTTTAAATCCCTCTATTCCCCGCAAATGACAGGGCTCGGCATCGACCTGCAGTAGGAACATAGCCTTGACAAATTTATGTATTCATTTATTTTTAAAGGTCAAGTGTGAAGTAATTTCAGAAAACCCCAAATGAAATATTTTTATGTCACAAGTAATTAAACAAAATACATGAAAGAAAGCCTGAAAACATAATTTTTATTTCATGAATTCAACAAAGTAATCGTTTTCCCAAAGTGAGTTCCTAGCGAGTGACAAGACTGGAAGTGTGACATTGCTTCAAGAACAACAATAGCAGATCTCAACATGGAAAGTGACAAATGATTACAACCATGCGTAGATTATCGTGGCCTTAATGAGATAACCATTAAAAGCAAATATCCACTTCCATTGCTATATTCCGCTTTTGCCCCTCTTCAATCCCCGACTATCTTCTCTAAATTGGATCTTCCTAGTGCTTACCATTTGGTTCTCATGAGGGAAGGGGATGAGTGAAAGACAGCCTTTAAGACACCCTTAAGACATTTTGAATATTTAATCATACCTTTGGGGTTAGCCAATGCTCCCACTGTTTTTCAGGGTTTTATCATTGACGTGTTGAGAGGTTTCTTGAACTTATTTAGTTTTGTTTCCCTCGATGATATTTAGATTTTATCATGGACACTTAAGGAACACCAACACCATGTCAGACTCATTTTACAATGACTCTTGTAAAACCATTCTTCGTCAAAGCTTGAAATATGTGGATTTCATGTCAACTCTATTTCCGTTCTTGGGTTCATAATTGAGAATGGTCAGCTGAGAGCTGACCCCACCAAGATTAAAGTGGTGGTCGAATGGCCTACGCCGACCACCAGGAAACAGTAACAGCATTTTTGGGGGTTCGCTAATTTCTACTGCCACTTCATCAGGAATTACACCCAGAAAGCACTTCCATTAATCGGGTTAACCTCCATCAAAGTCCCATTTATCTGGGATCCTAAAGCCGAAACAGCTTTTCCAGACTTAAGGAATTCATTTACTAACTAACCCACCAGTTTTACACCATCCTTATCCTAACATCCCTTTTGTTGTAGAAGTGGAGACTTGTGAGTCAGGAGTGGGGGCTGCGCTGATCCAGTGCCCCCCAGTCGACCAGAGACTCCAACCCTGTGCCTTTTTGTCATGTCGACTCAGTCCTGCAGAAGCCAACTACCAGGAACTGTTGGTCATCGTCCTGGCCTTATAAGAGTGTAGACACTGGCTCGAAGAAAGAAAGGAGACTTTCGCCGTGTACAACGACCACATGAACCTTGCATGCATTCGTTCAGCCAAGAGAATGAACTCACATGAAGCCCGGTGGGCATTACTGTCCACTCGCTACAATTTTACACTCACCTACCGTCCTGGTTCCAAAAACGTAAAGCCGGCTGCCCTGATCCAGATCCACGACCCTGCAGAGGAGAGAAAAGAAAAAGAGAACATAATGCCAAATCATTACATCGTGGGGGCGCTGAGGTGGGAGATCGAGCAGAAGATCCAGGAGGCTCAAGAAAGAACCCAAGTACGGCTGGATGTCCCACAGGGAAGTTATTCATGCCCCCACATCTACGCTTGGAGGTGTTACATCTGGCACACATCCAAGGTGGCCTGCCATCCTGGGCTTAGCTGTACCATCCATCTCATTATGCAGTGATTTTGGTAGCCGAGGCTTAAGAAGGATGTCATTGACTATGTCAAAGCCTCCTCCACCTGCGCCTGCAGTCAAGTGTAATGGGAATTTGACATATGACAGTGCTAAAATGTATCTTACAACTAACTGTACCATTGTGAATGCTGACCATGTGATCTGCAAATAAGCAGAGTTGCTTGCTCACGCACCAGACTTCATCCTGTTATCTGAAAGTGTAGCTGTCCAAAGTGCTGATAGTGCTTCATGGTATGACTCCTTCTTCACCACGACAGACCGATACAACGTCTGCATCACAGCAGACGCTGCACCGATCCGCCTGTCGATCTCTCGCTCCCTCCTGCCCTCACTCGTGAACAAGACCCCAAGATACTTAAACACCTCCACTTGGGGCAAGATCTCCTCCCCGACCCGGAGAGGGCACTCCACCCTTTTCCGACTGAGGACCATGGTTTCAGATTTGGAGGTGCTGATCCTCATCCCAACCGCTTCACACTCGGCTGCGAAACGCTCCAGTGAGAGTTGGAGAGCCCTGCTTGAAGGAGCCAACAGTACCACATCATCCGCAAAAAGCAGAGATGCAATACTGAGGCCCCCAAAACGGACCCCCTCAACGCTTCGGCTGTGCCTAGAAATTCTGTCCATAAAGGTGATGAACAGAATCGGCGACAAAGGACAGCCTTGGCGGAGTCCAACCCTCACTGGAAACGATTCCGACTTATTGCCGGCAATGCGAACCAAACTCTGACATCGGCAGTATAGGGACCGAACAGCCCGTATCAGGGGGCTCGGTACCCCATACTCCCGAAGCACCCCCCACAGAACTCCCCGAGGGACACGGTCAAATGCCTTCTCCAAGTCCACAAAACACATGTAGACTGGTTGGGCAAGTTCCCACGTACCCTCGAGGACCCTGCTAAGGGTGTAGAGCTGGTCCACAGTTCCACGGCCAGGACGAAAACCACACTGCTCCTCTTCAATCTGAGGCTCGACTTCCCGACGGACCCTCCTCTCCAGCACCCCTGAATAGACCTTACCAGGGAGGCTGAGGAGTGTGATCCCTCTGTAGTTGGAACACACCCTCCGGTCC